TTATCAAGTTCCACTTTTGCTGCCAAGTGGGAGGAACAGTTTACGATCCATTGCTTGATGGGTAACAATTGCTATTGCCATTTCGTATCGATGTAGAATCTCTTTAATGTCATCAGTCTATATTCTCCTCGAGCAGCCTCTTCTTATGTGTAGCGCTTGCGTTGGTAGTTGTTCTGGCTGCATTCTTACTAGATGACTAAACCGTTTGATCTTCTGTCTCGATGAGTGGGATGAAGAGATTGGAGAAGAAAGAGGGAATGAGAGATACAGAGAGAGCGAGAGACTGACGGAGAGAGGGAGATAAAGACAGAGAATAAGAGAGAAAAAGAGACAGAGAAAAAGAGAGAGAATGAGAGAGGGGGAGAGAGAGACAGAAAGAGTGAAAGGGACAGAAGAAAAGAGGAAGAGAAAGAGAAAGAGGGAGAGAGACAGAGAAAATATTTACAAAAAGAGAGAGGGGGAAAGAGTAGGAAGAAAGGAAGAAAGACACAACACAACGAGAGAGAGAGAGAGAGAGAGAGAGAGAGAGAGAGAGAGAGAGAGAGAGAGAGAGAGAGAGTAAGAAAGAGGGAGAATGAAACAAAATGACACACGCAGACTACAGGAAGTGAGGAACATAAAGAAAGAGAGAGAACTTGAAAGAAAGAGAGAGAGACAGGCGAAGAGGGAGGGTGAAAAAGAAAGAGAATGCTTAATATGTGTCAACACGTAACAACATTGGCGAGAGAGAACGCGAAAGAGGAGAGAGAGAGAGAGACAGAGAGAGAGAGAGAAAGAGACAGAGAGAGAGAGAGAGAGAGAGAGAGAAAGAGAGACGAGGAGACCAAGGAAGAGAATATTGACAATATGTGAGCCCTGACAGGAATATCACTGGCATCAGAAACGAACAGTCGTACGAGAGGCAGAAGGATGTGAACGTCGTGACGACCAACGCCAGGCGGTGTTGCGCTAGTGCTACTCACCCCGGGTGTCCTCGAACGTCTCCTGCACGATCTTGGGGAACGGGTTACCTGTCTGCAGGGACAGGTAAGGTTCGTTGTAGTGCGTCATGTGGTTGACGGACAGTCCGTGCTCCTGAGCCAGGTCCCTCAGTCTCTCTGCCAGCGACTGGTACATCTTACTGTGGTCAGACAACAGATGACTGACATGAGAGAGCATGCAAGAGCGAACTCTCGGGGAGAAGTGAGAGAGAGAGAGAGAGAGAGAGAGAGAGAGAGAGAGAGAGAGAGAGAGAGAGAGAGAGAGAGAGAAAGAGAGAGAGCGAGAGAGAGCGATATGAATCTATGACTAAGCATAGGCGAGAGACAGAAGAAGAGTAGACTCGATAGAATTTACAAGAGAGCATGCGAGGGAGGGAGAGAAAACAGAATAAGAGTGAGAGAGAGAGGGGGGAATATGGATTATTTACCCCCCCCCCACTCTCCCCCCCCACAAAAAAATAATGTTCGCTGATGCAAACTCCCCTTCATTTCAGTAACAAATGAGATTTACTGAAAGAAACTCCTCTATATTACAGTTAGTAAATATATTTACAGATAAAATTCCCTAAACTATAGTTATTATTGATATTTGCAGATGAAATCCCCCAAACTATAGTTATTATTGATATTTACAGATATAAACCCCTAAATTAAAGTTATTGTTGATATTTACAGTTAAATTCCCCTAAACTATAGTTATTTTTAATATTTACAGATAAAAATCCCCTAAACTATAGATATTATTGATATATACAGACAAAATCCCTTAAACCATAGATATTAATAATATTTACAGACAAAATACCCTAAACTATAGACATTAATATTTACAGACAAAATCCTAAAATCGACAGATATTAATGATATTTACATATAAAATCCCATAAACTATAGATAATAATGATATTTACAGACAAAATCCCCTAAACTACAAATACTAATTAAATCTACAGACACAAATTCCCCTTTATCACAGTCAATAATCGGACTTGCTGAGATATATTCCACTATATCCCACTTAACAATAGAACTTACTTGTCTTGCTTGGCGTCACTTAACAATAGAACTTACTTGTCTTGCTTGGCGTCACTTAACGATAGAACTTACTTGTCTTGCTTGGCGTCACTTAACGATAGAACTTACTTGTCTTGCTTGGCGTCACTTAACAATAGAACTTACTTGTCTTGCTTGGCGTCACTTAACAATAGAACTTACCTGTCTTGCTTGGCGTCACTTAACGATAGAACTTACTTGTCTTGCTTGGCGTCACTTAACGATAGAACTTACTTGTCTTGCTTGGCGTCACTTAACAATAGAACTTACTTGTCTTGCTTGGCGTCACTTAACAATAGAACTTACTTGTCTTGCTTGGCGTCATTTAACAATAGAACTTACTTGTCTTGCTTGGCGTCACTTAACGATAGAACTTACTTGTCTTGCTTGGCGTCACTTAACGATAGAACTTACTTGTCTTGATTGGCGTCACTTAACGATAGAACTTACTTGTCTTGCTTGGCGTCACTTAACGATAGAACTTACTTGTCTTGCTTGGCGTCACTTAACGATAGAACTTACTTGTCTTGCTTGGCGTCACTTAACAATAGAACTTACTTGTCTTGTTTGGCGTCACTTAACAATAGAACTTACTTGTCTTGCTTGGCGTCACTTAACAATAGAACTTACTTGTCTTGTTTGGCGTCACTTAACAATAGAACTTACTTGTCTTGCTTGGCGTCACTTAACAATAGAACTTACTTGTCTTGCTTGGCGTCACTTAACAATAGAACTTACTTGTCATGCTTGGCGTCACTTAACAATAGAACTTACTTGTCTTGCTTGGCGTCACTTAACAATAGAACTTACTTGTCTTGCTTGGCGTCACTTAACGATAGAACTTACTTGTCTTGCTTGGCGTCACTTAACGATAGAACTTACTTGTCTTGCTTGGCGTCACTTAACGATAGAACTTACTTGTCTTGCTTGGCGTCACTTAACGATAGAACTTACTTGTCTTGCTTGGCGTCACTTAACTATAGAACTTACTTGTCTTGATTGGCGTCACTTAACAATAGAACTTATTTGTCTTGCTTGGCTTCACTTAACGATAGAACTTATTTGTCTTGCTTGGCTTCACTTAACGATAGAACTTACTTGTCTTGCTTGGCGTCACTTAACGATAGAACTTACTTGTCTTGCTTGGCGTCACTTAACGATAGAACTTACTTGTCTTGCTTGGCGTCACTTAACTATAGAACTTACTTGTCTTGATTGGCGTCACATAACAATAGAACTTACTTGTCTTGCTTGGCTTCACTTAACAATAGAATTTACTTGTCTTGCTTGGTGTCACTTAACGATAGAACTTACTTGTCTTGTTTGGCGTCACTTAACAATAGAACTTACTTGTCTTGCTTGGCGTCACTTAAGGAAAGAACTTACTTGTCTTGCTTGGCGTCACTTAACGATATAACTTACTTGTCTTGCTTGGCGTCACTTAACTATAGAACTTACTTGTCTTGCTTGGCGTCACTTTACGATAGAACTTACTTATCTTGCTTGGCGTCACTTAACGACAGAACTTACTTATCTTGCTTGGCGTCACTTAACGACAGAACTTACTTATCTTGTTTGGCGTCACTTAACGACAGAACTTACTTGTCTTGCTTGGCGGCACTTAAGGATAGAACTTATTATCTTGTTTGGCGTCACTTAACAATAGAACTTACTTGTATTGCTTGGCGTCACTTAACAATAGAACTTACTTGTCTTGCTTGGCGTCACTTAACAATAGAACTTACTTGTCTTGCTTGGCGTCACTTAACGATAGAACTTACTTGTCTTGCTTGGCGTCACTTAACAATAGAACTTACTTGTCTTGCTTGGCGTCACTTAACAATAGAACTTACTTGTCTTGCTTGGCGTCACTTAACGATAGAACTTACTTGTCTTGCTTGGCGTCACTTAACAATAGAACTTACTTGTCTTGTTTGGCGTCACTTAACAATAAAACTACTTGTCTTGCTTGGCGTCACTTAACAATAGAACTTACTTGTCTTGCTTGGCGTCACTTAACAATAGAACTTACTTGTCTTGCTTGGCGTCACTTAACGATAGAACTTACTTGTCTTGCTTGGCGTCACTCAACGATAGAACTTACTTGTCTTGCTTGGCGTCACTTAAGGAAAGAACTGACTTGTCTTGCTTGGCGTCACTTAACGATAGAACTTACTTGTCTTGCTTAGCGTCACTTAACGATAGAACTTACTTGTCTTGCTTGGCGTCACTTAACTATAGAACTTACTTGTCTTGATTGGCGTCACTTAACAATAGAACTTACTTGTCTTGCTTGGCTTCACTTAACGATAGAACTTACTTGTCTTGCTTGGCGTCACTTAACGATAGAACTTACTTGTCTTGCTTGGTGTCACTTAACTATAGAACTTACTTATCTTGCTTGGCGTCACTTAACGACAGAACTTACTTATCTTGCTTGGCGTCACTTAACGACAGAACTTACTTATCTTGTTTGGCGTCACTTAACGACAGAACTTACTTATCTTGCTTGGCGGCACTTAAGGATAGAACTTATTATCTTGTTTGGCGTCACTTAAGGATAGAACTTACTTATCTTGCTTGGCGTCACTTAAGGATAAAACTTACTTATCTTGCTTGGCGTCACTTTGCGACAGAACTTACTTATCTTGTTTGGCGTCACTTAAGGATAAAACTTACTTATCTTGCTTGGCGTCACTTAACGACAGAACTTACTTATCTTGCTTGGCGTCACTTAGGGATAAAACTTACTTATCTTGCTTGGCGTCACTTAGCGACAGAACTTACTTATCTTGCTTGGCGATATTTAACGATAAAACTTACTTATCTTGCTTGGCGTCACTTAACGACATAACTTACTTATCTTGCTTGGCGTCACTTAAGGATAAAACTCACTTATCTTGCTTGGCGTCACTTAGGGATGAAACTTACTTATCTTGCTTGGCGTCACTTAGGGATAAAACTTACTTATCTTGCTTGGCGTAGATGACAGAGAACTTGTTCCACCTGAAGTGTTTCAGCAAAGACACAACGGAAGTGATGATACGGTCTGCCGGCGGGAATGTCCTGGTGAACGTCGGGTACTCGATTTTGTCGGAGACTTTGTCGTCTGGACAGATCTTTGGTTTGAAGAAATAGACACCAGATATGTTATGTAAACAAACAAACAAACAAACAACAATGAATTGCGGCGCTTATGAAAATCTGGCATACATGTGGAACTCAGTATTTCATGTTCAAAATTCAGAGTTAGGCCTGTAATTGAGAACCCCGGCATCCTACATAATCCGAGTATGGAGGACAATTGGTTCATAAACAGCATCCGGACCTAACTGCTGAGGTATTTTGACCATGTTAAACGTGATGCTGGCTCGGAGAGAACGGTGATGGAAGGTGGATACACGACATTGTAGGTGCATTGGTTATAAAAGTACATGGGGCTGAATAAATACCAAGAGAGAGAGAGAGAGAGAGGGAGAGGGAGGGAGAGAGAGAGAGAGACTTTCTAGCGTAACGTGGCGAGAGCGACGTTCTGGAAGAGTCCTGATGATTGATGATGATGATTAGATCTATACCGACCTCACACATTTTATACAACAAAAAACCCATATAAATCGACCGCTAGTTTAGGAAAGAGAGATTTTAGGCTTGAAAACAATCACCATGATCATTATCGTCATCATCATCACCACTACTACCACCACCACCATCACTATCCCCATCATCATCCTCATCCCCACCAGCACTACCATCATTAATCATCAACATCTCCACCACCAACCCCCCCTCCACCACCATCATCGTCATCATCATCACCACTACTACCACTACCACCACCATTATCTTTATTATCACCATCACCGCCACCACTATCATAATTAATTATCAACATCCCCACCATCATCATTATCATCACCAGCCCCACCACCGCCACCGAACCGAGCTATGCAGCTGTGAAACGAACCCCGACCTTCACAGCGCGAGGCAAGGGGCTTGACCACTTCGCCACAGAGACCAACTTTCTGTTATTTTGTGCCCATTTTTGTTTCCTTCATTCTTTGCATTTTCATATCTTTGACCACTACCCATTAACCTAAGCAGCACAGAAAAACGAATACTTTTGTGTTTTTTCGCTCGACCCTTTTCTTTTATTGTGTCTTATTCTTGTCGTTTCTTTGTCTCACTATCCTCCCTTTTAACACACGCGCACGCACGCACGCACGAACGCACGCACGCACGCACGCACCCACCCACCCACACACACACACACACACACACACACACACACACACACACACACACACAGATAGCTTTTTGAAAGTAGGCAACGGTATGCAGTTCAGGAAGTTTTCTTATGCGCCTTTTTTTTCAGTGCGACCCTAACAAACACTTTATGGTGAGTAGAGACACCTGATTAGCCACTGTGTGGTGAGTAGAGACACCTGTATAGACACTTTGTGGTGAGTAGAGACACCTGTTTAGCCACTGTGTGGTGAGTAGAGACACCTGTTTAGCCACTGTGTGGTGAGTAGAGACACCTGTATAGACACTGTGTGGTGAGTAGAGACACCTGTATAGACACTTTGTGGTGAGTAGAGACACCTGTTTAGCCACTGTGTGGTCAGTGCAGACACCTGTTTATACAATTTATGTAAGTAGAACCACCTGTTTAGATATTTTGTGGTGAGTAGAGCCACCTGTTTAGATATTTTGTGGTGAGCAGAGCCACCTGTTAAGATATTTTGTGGTGAGTAGAGACACCTGTTTAAATACTTTGTAATGAGTGGAGACACCTGTTTAGGCACTTTGTGGTGAGTAGAAACACCTGTTGAGATACTTTGTGGTGAGTAGAGACACCTGTTGAGATACTTTGTGGTGAGTAGAAACACCTGTTGAGATACTTTGTGGTGAGTAGAGACGCCTGTTTAGACACTGTGTGGTGAGTAGAGATACCTGTTTAGACACTGTGTGGTGAGTAGAGACACCTGTTTAGACACTTTGTGGTGAGTAGAGACACCTGTTTAGACACAGTGTGGTGAGTAGAGACACCTGTTTAGACACTTTGTGGTGAGTAGAGACACCTGTTTAGACACTGTGTGGTGAGTAGAGACACCTGTTTAGACACTGTGTGGTGAGTAGAGATACCATTTTTAGACACTTTGTGGTGACTACCGGCACCTGTTTTTTGTCTTTAAAAGACACTTCAACACTTCAAGACCGCCCCCCCCCCCAACCCCACACACACATACACACATGGGAAATGCCCAATGAGCAGTGAAGTCAACTTCATGTATATGGGCTCAGACGAGTGTGAATCTGCACCCTTGACCAGACTGCAAGAATAACATGCTTAAGCCAAGGAAGAAGACGAAACCCACACAAAGCGGGGAGTCATCAATCGCTACACGATGTGGGATTTACTGAGGAGGGGATCTGGACACTTATGGACTAAATGGTTTGATATACAATGAGTGTGAGTGTGTGTGTGTGTGTGTGTGTGTGTGCGTGCGTGTATGTGTGCGTGACTACCGACCAATACAGAAATTCCAATCAGCTCTGTGATGGAGTTATCGTTTCTGTAATGATCAAATTACCTCCGTCAGAGTTACGGCGCATATTGAACAGCCTGTCTGATACCTTCGGGGCTACTGGCTACTTGGCGAAAATCTTTTTTTAACTTTCTTGTACGCGTTCACCAGCTATAACCTACGGCGGCAAGTTCTGGTTGTTTGTCCACTTCCGGACTTTGGTCTTTTTCCACAACTTGAGTGTTGCGTGCAAATCCCTTTTTCAAACAAATAGGGCTTAATTTGTGTGCAGACTGTTGGTTCTTCGCGTCTCCGGCAGATGAACTCAGACTTCGAAAGAAAAACACATAATTAATCGCCCCCTACGACATGCTTGTAACGAGGCAGTGGGTCGGTTTTGTCCCTTCTTAGAAAGAAGGTCTGGAATTTACACGGGTATGATGAAAATTTGTTTTTAAAACAAATCGCTCGCCTGGTTTGTCTTTATAGGTACCCATCTGGGTTCACTTTGGAGTGAGAGTCCACATTTTGAGTGGGAGTCCTCCTAGGAGTCGGGGTCCACCAGGGAGTCGGGGTCCACCAGGGAGTAGGGGTCCACCAGGGAGTCAGGGTCCCCCAGGGAGTCGCGGTCCACCAGGGAGTCGGGGTCCACCAGGGAGTCGGGGTCCACCAGGGAGTCGGGGTCCACCAGGGAGTCAGGGTCCCCCAGGGAGTCGCGGTCCCCCAGGGAGTCGGGGTCCACCAGGGAGTCGGGGTCCACCAGGGAGTAGGGGTCCACCAGGGAGTCAGGGTCCCCCAGGGAGTCGCGGTCCACCAGGGAGTCGGGGTCCAACAGGGAGTCGGAGTCCACCAGGGAGTCGGGGTCCACCAGGGAGTAGGGGTCCAACAGGGAGTCGGGGTCCACCAGGAAGTCGGTGTCCACCTGGGAGTCGGACTCAAAAGAGAACAATACCACGGGAATCAGCACCGACCAAGATTTCACTCACTCTAGCCATTTTTGCTAACAGACTGTTCCCGTTTGGGTTATCTCTTTTCGCTTATGGGGCTGTGTGGTCTTGAGGTATGGTGTCCGCCTCTGGTGCTAGAGGTCCTGGCTTCAAGTCCTGATAAAGGCTGGCATTTTTTCTGTTCACTTGGACTTCTAGTAATTTCCCCTGGTCTCTGGTTAGAAAGATCGGACGCCCGTGTGCACTGTTGGGCACGTAATAAATCCCCCTAGCGGAAATCGAAAAGAGTAGCCTAAATCTACCTAAAACATTTCAGGATCGTCACCGGTGCTACAGAGCCTGTGCACTGCGCTGAGATTTTTGGGACTCAGACTTGATTTAGAAGTAGAACGGAGCATTGATGGGTTACTACCCGTGTGTCATGGTGTTAATCCGTTGTTTAAACCTCAAACCTCTTTTCGCTTGGCTTCTTTTTCCTCTTGCCCGTCAAGAACCTCATCGAAGTAAATTAAAAGGTTCCTTTACACGGGGCGTATGGGGCATATGAGATTAGTTGTTAGTGCAGATCAATCAGTCCTTGGTGGGTGATGTAGTCAAGATAACACCGACCACCTCTACTTCCCAGAAATTTACATGGTACCCGTTTAAGGCTGGGTCGACCTGAGAGCCGGCTCCATGAGGTTCTGAACTTAATCGGCGACCTGGTGGCATATCGACTCGCAGGTAGACGACTTCGTCGCCGGTCGGGACTGTATTTGAATATGTCTCATCTGACTGCATCAACTCTGCATGGGCCCTTTCGAGGGTCTTTAGTTGCATGCAATGTTAAGCCAGTTTAAATTAAGCACATAACCTAGTCACAATTATAACTTAAGGCTGCCCCTTCAGGGGATGCTGGATGATTGTGACGATTTTTTTATTTTTGTTACCAGCAAAACAGTTTTAAACTCACGAATCCACAATCGCTGTACCACTTTTTGAGTACCAAGCAACTCATCACGAGTTCTTTGTCATTCAAACAATGATGTAATCGCCACTTGTTTTCTGTCACGGATAGATGTTACAATTACTCCTCATATTGAAATTATTATTTGAAGCCCCTCTGTCCCAAAATGCTTTAATAGAGCTTCTTCAGGCCACACTATTTACCGCTTTTAAGATGAACTCCTCAGGTTCGCAGGAGTTAAAGTAGCAACTGCTTGGGACACTGTTTTAGGCACCCACCCCTCTAGGACTACTACAATAGATCTTAGCTCCCAGGTGGACCTAGCTCTGAACGGATACAAGGTTAATGTCCTGGGAAGTAAAGGCGACCGGAATGATGTTGACTACATCACCCACGGATGCCGATTGGTCTTTAAAATATAATTCTAGCACTATACGTCGAATATCATCATCAAAACAAACGAAAAGTAGACCAGCAAGCTTCACAGTACAACAAACACACAGGGAACGTGAACCTTCATTGGAACAATACTTAAACAGCAAAATCACATGTACAGACACTAATCCACACAAGTACTAAAGTGATGTACAACCGATAACAGCCACGTTGTTGTGCTGCTACAGAATGTGCCCAATATGCCCGAATGTGTGGATTATGAGATAAATGCCGACACCTGTCTTACTTAATTTTACGGTCAT